ACATTTTCTAATGGCAAGCGTTGAAGGAATGTAGTCTTACGACAACGTGTAGGGCCCACAATCAAAATACTAGCAGGGGATTTAAAAGTAAACCCTGGCTTTCAGATAGACATGGTTTCTGAAAAAGCTAGACACAAAAATGATGCGATGTGATATCATTAATGTTGTTTTATTTGTGTTTTAATGATGTCTTCCAACATGTTGCCTACTTTATCATCGTTTCCTACAAAATAATGTTCAGAAAACATGGAATAAAATGCATCCATGCTTTCCCCTTGTGCTTTACACAATAAGTACATGATGGCATAATTTCCACAACTTGCGGTCTTGACAGATTGTAAGGCTCTGGTGTTTTGATGAACATATGGTGAACAATTCAACCATACAATGAATGGTGTCAGAAATTCATAAGTTGTTAAAGGTAAAACATAACTATCTAAAAGTTCACAGGTATCATTTTTGGTCCACACAGCTATTGAATGTTCCCCCAGTTTGTCTGCAGGGTGGGTATTGACAATGTATGCTCTTGGTCTCACACGTCCAGGTGTCTTGGGTAGCTCATCACAAGCTAACGCACTCACAAAGTACTTGCGAAGTTCTGAGTCGCTATCTGCAAGAGCATTGAGTTGATTCATGGTAAGCCACACAAACTCCATCACTAATGTACTCCCATCAAGGTAGCTCCTTTAATGCTGTCGATTTCCATCATGCCTTCATACTCTGCATAAATGACAATGGTTTTCTGACTTGCTTGAGCTGCACTTTTCAGGTGGATGTTAATCATGCCTTTGTTTTTAGGCAGGAGCCCCAGGTCATCGTGTCTTCCATTGGCCACACTAGAGAACATAAAGAGCGTACGATTTTTTCCTCGACCCCAGTCTTTGAATCGTACCATGTTTCCTGCATTTCTGTACAGACATCCTTTAGCATCCAAAAAAAATTGGTGATACCCAATTAGGTCTTTCCACCCATTGGTTGTGTTGAGTTCCAAGGTTTCACAAGGGTATTCTTCTCCAGTTACAATCTGTTTGGTGTATTTCACACCATATTGCCCAAACGCAAAGGTGTCTTTGTCGTATTGAGCATTGAATGATGTGGTTTGTAGAATGCCAATGATGACTCTTTGTGACACCTTTCCATGAAATGGATTGTTAATCTCCTTGTAGGTGGCTCCATTATCCAAAGGAAACTGTCTCATTTCTGTGCGGATCATGGGATACTTGGCTCGAGTTTTTAAACATAGTAAGCATCAGTTCATTGTAGACAGAGGGGTTGAGTTGGACTAGGCAGAGATGGAAGGTAAGTTTTATGTCTTCTGGGTTTACCCTGGCTGCCTCATCAGGTGGATTGGCCTCTCCATTCATGAACAGGGCTGCTGCATTTAGATAGAATTCAAATTCCAAAAGTGTTCTGGGTACGATCCATTTTCCTTGGTGAAACACGTCCACAAACGGTTTCATTCTCAAGGTTCTAATTTTTTCCTCCTGCATAACAATTTCTCACATCTATCTAAGTTCAGTAGAGTCTGAAAATAAGCCTTGAGATGGTGCATGTCCACTTGTTCTGTGAATAGCGTGCCATTGGCTCTACAATTGATCTGCTTGAAGAGAGTGTAAGCAATGTTGTTCGCCGGAATGTGCATAGTAGCCACTGCATCAGCGTGGGATGTGAGATTGGCATTTCCCATGGTCTTGAAACCCACCTTGAGTTCCACAAAATTTCTCGTAAGATTGATGAGATCTGATTGTTGGTCCATGTACACATGTATAGGAGTAATGTTAGAGGTCTGGACTGGTACTTTGACACATCTGTAACGTGATTGATTATTTGCTGCACCTTTGATAGGCATCGTGATGTGTCTGATTCAGCATCTCCGGTGTTTATGTAAGTGCCTTCAAATCACACGTTTCTTTATACCCCTTTTAAGAAATCCCCCTCCTTGCTGTTTTCTTTTTCTTGCTTTGTATCTTTTCGATACTCTAATAAAAGGAGTACTACCACGTATGGTACTGATGCGAGTTATTATTCTCCAAAAATATCGTCCAGCTTTTTAGCAAATTTTTGTTGTACTACGTTCTTAAGAGCTTGGTTGGCCCCTCTCTTGACACCACGTGGGAATTCTAAAAGAGATTTGTTCTTGACAGCTCTTTTAAAGCCTCCTTTGAAACCCTTAAAAAAGTCTTTAGCCATGTCTTTGACTCTGGTGCCTATTTGAGAATCACCCCAATTCCAATAAAAGGCGGTATGGCATAAGGTGAGGGTGTCTGCCAGCGCATGAGAGCATCACTTCCCTGTTCATTTGGCACATACACTTTAAAGCGTCTCAAACTTCCTCCTCTCATGATTTGATCACTACAAATGCACTGTTCACTTTAAATCTTTATTAATCCAACTGTTATATTTGCTAGGGTACCCTTTCCACTTGACAAACAATTTATCCTTTTGTCTCTTTAATACTTTTTCTACTCGAAAATAAGTTGCTTCAGCCACATGTACTTTTTGCAAGTTGCACGCATAAAATGTGCCTTGTAAAGGCGTGTCATCCAATTCTTGCACTTTAATGTTGTTGTTACCATTCCGGGTTCAACTTTACAACTTGAAGCACGTCTTCTGTCCATCCTGGTGGATACCCTTTCTTAAACAATCTAAAATTTTTATTCAATCAGACTTTATAACTCACTTTTAAATCCAGGATTCTTTTTCTTGTTAGTCTGATATTTCTCTTACAAATTGTTCTACACTTCTTTGGCAGTGGATGTGGTGACTTTAGGTGGTGTGGTTTTAATACTCCTATGATAGGTGCGATTGTATTGATTGACAAGTTTGTGCAATATGTCTACATATTTGAGTTTATTGGCAGCCGTGAAATAACGATACAATTTCGATTTAAAGGGTAACTGACAGCTAGAAGGTCACTTTTTCAGAATACTGTCTAAATACCTCAGGTAACACATTGAAACAGAAATAAGGTGCTTCGAATGCCTCTTTGTGCCTTTTTTCGCCGGGAAAACTGTCCTAAATGCAGCTTTGTGAGTCATCCACCATAAACGCATGATTTTGATCATGTGACCTGATATGTCCAAGTCTGTGCTCTAGGAAAATTTTCAGGGCGCCCTTTGGGTGCCTAACCATGACAAGTAGGTCGCCCAGCCTTCCAGGTTGGTTGCCCGAATTGATTGATGAATTAATTAATAATTAATTGATTAATTAATTAATGATCCATTTTATAATTGAATCAGTTAATAATTAACCATGAAAATAGTAATCATATAATTTAGCATTTTACTGTTGTTTTATGGCATAGGCAGTATCTCAGTGATGATTATTCTTGCCTACTTACGTATTTACTGACAATAGACAAGTTTGACTATATTCAGCAGTCACGTACTCTATTTTGGCAAACTTGTGATATCATGAAATCCTGTTATAAATTAACCACATACATGTTAAAACCGCTAAGAAAATTTCTTTGAAGACCACTAAAATAGGTTTCGAAACGAAAGGGTTCTTATATTAAAGTTTCATTTTTGTTTGATGATGTGGAGAATGGCACTCGCTCGCTCGCTCGACTGGTCCATTCCTGTAAACTTTTTTTCGATTTTAGGCTTTTGAGAGCATTTGATAGTTTTTGGCGAGTAATAAACAAACAAAATGGCGACCTTTGTTGCTAAGAATAGTGGTGGGGTGAAAAAGAAGCCAATGATAATCTTAAAAGAGTTTTTTTTTTGTTTTAGTTTCCACAAGCGGCACCAGCAACTAGCAGGTATGCAAGGATTCACACTGAAATAACAGAACAACCTTCGTTTTTCATAAAATTGTAATTTACAATCCTTGAACTTGAAAACAATCCAAAGATTCATTGAAAATATCACATTCTGCGAAGTGCTCAGAGTTTACAGATGTTCAAAAGCTTTTTCTGTTATGGTGTGAGATTGAGGACAAAATCGATCATTATGCTTCGTATCGTGAGTTTTTCCTGTTTGAAGCAACAAAAGATGCCGGCAACTGACGAAATTACAAGTTATCACAAAAATCAAATAACACCTAAACAAACAATTTTAGCCACCGATTTTCAGTGAATTTTTAAAGAACAATATTTTCTTTTAAGTTTGAAGACAATTTGAAGATTCAAAATAAATATCGCATACTAATATGGGATCAGTCGCCTGAGACCAAATGTTAGTTGTGATGTTAGATATGTCACACGTGTGCACACTAAGCACCGTAAATATGGCGGACAGTAGCTCAACTGAAAGCAGTTCTACTTCTGGGCAGTGTGCCTCAATGTCTGGGTTCTGCAGACAGTTTGGCTACAATACAAGCAGCGGTATGGCTCTTCTGCTTATGAGGGGCCTAAGCATAAGAAAAACCGCCACATTGCTTACAGTCAAGTAGTCAGGTGGTGTTGGGGTACTCTGGGCAAAAATATTCGCATCCCTTTGCCTTCTTGTGCTGTGAATTGCACATGTGCCCCCTTCCCAGAGCCCAACCAGCTGGAGGAGGTCATGGTTTTTACTGGTTTTACTTATGCAGATGAGTAAACTTTAGTGCCTTGTTATGCCATTAACATTTTTCTCCAAAAAAAAAATTTTTTATCATACATCTACATGTATTCTTGTGGTTGAATCCTCTTCTTGAAGAAACTTTTACTTATGTCACTAGGAGATAACTTTTGTTTTCAAAGTCTCCCTTAGGAGCCCAAATTAGCTGAAACTGGCACATGCTAGTTACAATTTTTTTCTGATACATACTTTTATTTCACACAAAATAACCCTTATCCAATTTACAATGATATTTTAGGTTTTAAAATCACAAGAATTTAAGTATTGGTTTTTATATACTTAGGTCAACTAGTTCACCAGATTAGTGCGGTTATATTGGCTGACATAATTCTGAACAGCCTCTTCTTTGTCAGGTCTCTGTGCATTTGCAGTAAGGGGTGGTGGGGTGTTGATGGCCAAGTTTGTCACGTACTCCTTGAGATTCCTTGGATTTGCCTCTTATTTTGCAAATAAGTCCTTTATAACTCTGTAGCAGTAATCTGAAAATTGAAATGCATTATTAATTTCCTTCTTTGTTCTTTATGAGGTGGACCTTGAATTCGTTATTTTTCACGGCTCCCAAATTGAGGTAATTTCCAGGGGGTTATTCTTTGCTTGAGTTAATCCATAAGCTAAAAAGTGCAGTCTCTAACTTCCTGTGCCCCATCTACTTCATACCCACCATAAGATAGAATGATAGATAGTTTATTCACCTTAAGAACTTGCAGCCAAAAGCTGAATTGTGATAAGGTTTACAAACGCGAAATTTCCAGTTTACTAAATTACAACTAATTAATTAATTTCCTAATTTAAAACTGTTACAGAATGACAAAATTACAAGCATTCGTCAAATTCCTATGTAAAATAAGAAACAAATTAATATCTAATTATCACCTACGATAAACGTAACTTAAGAGAAAGCTATTCTTGCACGAATAAATGTTCTTTGTTCTCTGAGATAGTAGCCGGTTGGTATTTGCTTGGAAGTAGTTTATGAAGACTGTGAGATTGATTTGCACATATTTTTATTGAACAACTTTGCTGTGATTGCCTCCCTTCTATCATACAGCGTTAAAATTCCAGATATTTCCAAAGCCTTGGCATACAAAAGCTCGGGATAAATAATCTTCATAGCACATTTTTGAAGTCTTTCTATGTCTTCGCTTAAATAACTTGGTAAAGCATGATGGAAAACTGGGTTGCTGTACTCCAGAGTAGACCGAATGCATGTAATGTAAAATAGAAGAAGCTCTTTTGTGACGACATGCGATCTCTTCAACTGTCTTAGAAAATATAGTCTTGTAGAAACCTTCCTAACTAGCTCTAACACATGGGCATTCCATTTTAAATCACTACTTATATTGAGTCCTAATAATTTTATACTTTTCACAGTCTCAGGGGTCTGATGGTGAACCCAGATAGGATCAAATTTTGGTTTGTTTTTTGCGAAGCTAATCCTAAGCTCTTTACATTTCCTTTCCTTTAACTGAAAACCTTCATCCCTTACTTGTACTGCGCGATCGTCTACCATTTGCTGAATACAGCTCTCTTGGCCTTTAGCTATCACCTCTGAAATTGTGGTATCATCCACATATTTCCACATCTCTGCTTCTCCTGCATTCAAATCATCAATCATAATTAAAAATAACCATGGCCCAAGCTTGGTCCCCTGTGGGACACCAGCTGGAAGGTAACGCCATTCGGAGAAGCAATCCTCGGCCAGTTTAACTCTCTGTCTTCTATCTGATAAAAAGTCAACAATCCAGCATAATATGTGGTTGACAATATCGTAATCTAAGAGTTTACACACCAAGAGCCTGAGAGCTTTTTCATTACATCTCTGAAGCCTTCCTCCTCTGAGTTGCTTTTAGCCGCTCTTGTGTGCTTTCGTTGGTTTTTGCACTCTTTGCGGCGTGTGGTCTTGGCACTTGACTCTGAGTTTGTTGAACTGGAGGTAGTGGGCGAAGGAGTAGAGCTTCCTTCTGGTGTTTGCTTGGCATCTAGCGCTGGCTCCGGTGTGGTGATCCTGACTTGCCTCAGCTTATTGCAGGTTATTACATCCCTGCAGCCTAGCACCGCATCTATGGCATCGTAGTGGGGGCTCCTTGGAATATTTTCCCCACTTTGTTTGTGGTTCCAGTCTTATTTTTCTTTGTATAGATTCTTGAGGTGCTTCAGCTTGTGCTGGCACTGATCTGTTTTTGTGATGCCTTGTTTATCATTCAAAGCTCTAACAATTTCATCCCAAGCTTTCCTACAGTCTTGCTTTCCAGGTGGTCAATATTATCGGCCCATAACTGGTCCAGGACAGTTCAATGGAGACCCGGGTTGGTAAGGAGAGTACTGGTTTAAAGGATCGTTTGGATATCTGTTTGGCATGATGGTGAACTGAAAGTGCGGCCGAGTCTCTATTTTGCAAAACCCTGCAAGTACCAGGAAATCTGTCTGTCTTCAAACCTGGTGTTGACATATTATTGACAGCTCTCCATTGTTTTTTACCTCTTTTGCCTGATATGACCCGCTCTGAGGCAGGACATCGGATCCTTTGATCTTATGCCCTGCGAAGCTCGTATGTTGGTATGCGCGACATAAGGGTCGCGCTTGTCTGAGGCTAGCGATGACAGTTCAAGCACCTATCCAAACACATTTGTCCTTGAATGCAACCTGTACCTAAGGCACATCAATCAACAAAGCGATTTCAACATAATAGTCCACAGACAATGTATCTAGCCTTGCATCTCTACCCATCAACTGTGTGATTTCAAGATGGTCTCTACTTATCCCATCTACAAAAATTAACAAAACTCGGAATTGCAACTACAAAACATGTATTTTTACATCTGGTAAATAGTCCTGTAGTTGATCGGGAGCTAATATGACACAACTTATCCACTCAGGATTTGAACCTATTTGTTCAACTACTGTTGACATAAGTTTGTCTCCTAAGTTTACATCGATATCAAGGTAAGTATCATCTGTTACGATGTCTTCCTCTTCTGAATCTAAAAAAGTTTACAAAGAAAAGTCTCTATGAATGCTATGTTTTTACATTGACAGTGACTTTATTGACACAGGGTGCTATTAATTGGGCTACCCATAAAACAGCCATCTTATGTTCCTCATCCTCGTCTATGCCTAAAAATTAACACATCAGACTCTCATTACTTTCTTCGAATTATAGGAAAAAGTGCTTCTAATAAATCAGCAAATGTCATCTTGACATCTAGTCCTGAAATAAATCATTCACATCCATCTGTAAGAATTTGCACTGTCCTCTTGTTGGGTTTAAATCGCCACCAAGTGAATAGCTTACAATGACGTTGACTGCATGGCAAATACATTTTGCCATAATTTGTTTGTGATTGAGTCAAAGACAATGTGGGAGTCTTTCCACATTCGCACACCATCTTGTCAATTCTGTCCAAGGTGAACCAGGGGTGACCCTGTATTTGACATTCATAGTAATAATGGTTGTAATCATTGAGATTACAAAAGACTGGGCAACTGGGGGTCGAGCAATGTAGGAATACATTGTCACAATCTTATATTTCAATCCGTCCATCATGGTCTGGTGGATCGGACATGGATAACTGACTTCCACATTATTCAGTATCTCATCCAAGGAGGAATACTGATATGTACCTGTACCTGTACCAGAATCCTGAGGAATCTTGCCTTCTTCTAGCACTTCTACCTCTGTCTTCTTCGTCGTTGGTTCTGTCTTGATACTACTAATGCAGTATTTATATAGCGCTATTTCTATTGCTATTCAATAGGGCTTTACAATTCATTTATAAAAGACATTGATAAAATTTATAAAAACGTAAACATCACTAAAATATGAGTAAAAAACTAGCTAATAAAATATCTGTAATGATGGGAGTAAAAACTGTGAAACTTAATAGAACTAATTCACTAACTAATTAACTAACTAACTAGCTGACTAACTAATTAACTAACCAACTAACTAGCGACCTAGCTAACGATAAAATAGCTAATTAACTCGCTAAGCTAATTATAAAATTTTTAAGAAGGTTAATTATAAAATTTGTTAAAAAGGTATGTCTTTATACAGGTCTTAAAGTCTGATAGCGAGCTGCTCTCTTTTGTTGTTCGGAAGAGAGTTCCATAGAGTCGGTGCTACAGAAGAGAAACACCTGTGACCATAACTTACTAGCTTGACAGGTGGTACTTTAAGTAAGTTTTTGGAGGAGGACCTCAGATTTCTGGTTGGTACATAAGGCTTCAGCAGTTCAGTGATGTAACTAGGGGCTTGTCCGTTGAGCGCTTTGAAAGTCAAAAGTAATATCTTGTAATCTATGCGCTGGCTAACTGGGAGCCAGTGAAGCTGCTTTAAAACAGGTTTGATGTGGTGATACTTTCTTGTACGAGTGACAACACGAGCTGCAGCATTCTGGACATTTTGTAGACGATCTATCAGGAATTTGGGTAATCCATATAGTAGCGAGTTGGTGTTATCTAGCTTAGATGTAATGAACGCATGAACTAGTTTTTCAGTATCTGCTAGAGATAAGCAGTCTCTTATCTTGTTAATGTTTCTAAGGTGGAAGAAACAGGCTTTGCAGGTACTGGTAACATGCTTATCTAGTGACATGTGCTCATCAAAGATAACTCCAATGTTCCTTGCAGAGGGAGATGGCTCGATCTGCTCACCAGACACATCAACATACTCTATTGATGGGGGTGGACGGTGTCGTGCACTTAAGATCAATAGCTCCGTCTTTCTTCTGTTTAGTTTCAGTTTATTGCACACCATCCACGAGTCTATCTCAGAAACACACGCCTCTATTTTTGCTATAGAGCTGGTTAGTTCGGCGGGGGTGGGCTTGAAAGAGAGATAGAGCTGGGTGTCGTCGGCGTAGATATGGTAATTAAGTCTGTGCCGTCTAATGATGTCCCCAATGGGTGAAGTGTATAATAAGTATAGAACCGGACCTAGTACTGATCCCTGGGGGACACCGTACCGAAGTTCTTTCATCTTTGACTTGTTTCCATCAATTATCACAAACTGTTTTCGGTCTTGGAGATATGATTGAAACCATTTTAGCACATTTCCTTTTACTCCATAGCGTTTTGCCATTCTTTCCAGTAGTAGATCATGGTCGACTGTATCAAATGCCGCAGACATGTCTAACAGTTACATGACAACACATTTTTGATTGTCTATTTCGAAGAGAATGTCATTTTGCACCCTCAAGAGTGCAGTCTCTGCTGTGAAAACGCTTATGCGCAGACCGAAAAGATTCCTCTAGATCATTATCACGTAGGTGATCACTCAAGTGACAAGAAACTGCCTTTTCAATTATCTTTGATATAACCTTCAGATTTGAGATAGGTCTAAAGTTTGAATAATCCTCTGAGTCTAGGTTGTTCTTCTTCAACTTTGGTTTGATCACTGCTTCTTTCAGTGCAGCGGGCATTGATGCTGATTGGAGCGACATGTTCACGATGTTGGTTAAGACAGGTAGAAGGCTGATTTACATTCCTTTAGAATAGATGCCGGTATAGGATCAAGATCACAAGATTTTTTACCGATAGTGTCTACAAAACCTTCAATCTCTCTCCCTGACATCACTCTAAACTCTTTGAATTCGGCATGACAAGGCTGTTTGTTTGCTTCGCAGGACTGGGTATTAGAAGTCGCTTCATTGGATAGCTCTATTCTTATTGTCGCTATCTTCTTGTCGAAAAAGTCGGCAAAATTGTTCGTAAGCTCAATCGTGGAGGGTGCGGTTGGATAGCATCTCTACTTTGCGGTGTAATAGCTTGTCGACTGCGTTGAAAAGAACTTTTGGATCTGATGCATTCTCTGAAATAATAGATGAGTAGTATGAAGCCTTTGCATCCTTAAGCATTTTATTCACAACCCCAACCCCCCTTAGATGGAGGTGGTCTATAGATGGTAACAATCCTTGTAGACCCAGTGGAGCATGTTGTTATGATGTCCAGGTATTCGAAGGACTTGAAATTTCTTTGGGTTTGTTTCGTAACCTTCATGTGTTTCTTTATTAGGAGACCAACTCCTCCCCCTTGTGCGTTTTTCCGAGGAACGTGGTAAAACTGGTATCCAGTGGGGCAAACTTCGGCGATGGAAAAATTATAGTTTTCATTATTACTCAGCCATGTCTCAGTCAATGCAAAAAAGTCTACGTTATTTTCGACTGCATAATCTTTGATCGGAAGTTCCTTCTTATTGATTGATCTGGTGTTCAACAAACAGAAGTCAATGGGGACGAATCCATTCTGCAGTTTTTGCTTTGAGTATCTTATGCTGATAAGATTGTGCCAATTCACTCCTCTGGGACAGCAATTTTTGGAGCCAAGGGTGGCGTTGTACAACACAGTGGCTGGCCGTAATGCATGGCTGCGTTTGGCTTGCGATGGAACAATGACCGGTATTGTTCTATTCACAGAGGGCCCGGGATTGAGCTTAAATGTCAGATCGCCAATTAGTTCCATGTTGAAAGGGGCGGAGCTGTTGGGATAACAAAAGCATGGTCTTTTGTGTCTTTTCGTCCTGCGCCGCTTTGATAAATTCCTGTGCAGAAACGAACCAGTGATTGTGTAGCAATTCGTCCTGCGATGTGAAATGCTCGTTGTGAACAAAACATCTTTGTTAGAGTAATTAAATGTCTAGATAGTTTTTACCAGTTTGTTCAACTCTTTCAATTGTGGCTGTGACTTGGCAGGCTTTGATTTAGGAAGGATACAGTGTTCTGGTTTCATATAATCCACAGCCATTTGTGGCTCATTCACAGCAAACTTGGGTGGTTCTCCTCCAAAATTGTCATGCATGATTTAGTAAAATCTTCTCGTTGGCTAGAACCTGTAGAATTTTTTTTAGTTCTCTAGAGGTTAGGGCAGCCTTGGGCAGCCTCAGGCAGCCTTGAACAGCCATCTTTGTCAGACATCTTACACTGCACATACGTAAAGTATTGTAACATCTCCCACATGGATGGGAAGTGAGGTCTTAACACATGTATATTTCATCATGATGCCATGCATATTACACGAACTTATTGGTACATGTTACATTCCTCTCAGGGAGTTAGGAACGTATTATTTTTGACTGCGCATCCCTGAAAACTAGGTAGTACCATGTAACGGAGGCTTAGAGGACACAAGATGGTTGACTCTGCTGCCGGCAGTTTTCACTATAAACCAGTTCCTTGGTTAAAATAATACTTAAAACAAAGGGGCATTCAAAGCTGAGGAATACGTAAGGTTGACCTGGTAGAACTTTGTGAGAAAAGTGAGGAGATGAAAGTCCCAAAGTCCAAGAATACCTATGAAAGAGCAACTGAAAACCGATGAGGGAGATCTTGAAAATCTGTTGGATAACGAAAACCTTGTTTTTTCCCAATGGATCAAAAACTTTACTAACGTACCGGTCTTTAGATTCCCCGATCTTTTTAATTACTTGGTGGGAAAAGATCCCATATACAACAGCGAAAGCCCAAAAAGCGAGATTGGCCATGTTTCTGGCAAATTTGTTGAGTTCAGTTCGTGAATTCAGGACTTTTTAGGAGTATGTTTTCGGTTGAATTTGAAAGAAAAGAAGAAGAGCAAAGAACTATTTATCTTGCTAAGGACATGAAGGAGATGACACGGAGGTGAGTATTGGTTCTTTACGGGAGGGTGTTCCGACTTGCTGGCTCATGGTTTTTAGTAATGTTTTGTTCAGTTTTGAACTTAAGCTCAATCATGGAGTGTACGTTTCTCGGTTATTTTAAATCTCAGTAGTGTAATGAGAAAGTGTCTCCCTCCATTTTTCAAACCCCAAGTTTACCCCACAAAAAAGTATACATAACATCATGCAACAATACAAAGATTCTATTTTTTTTTTATATAAGCTCAATACGCTTTCGTGTTTCTATTTTAATCGGTCGTTTGTAACTAGGAAAAGGAACAGAACTCATATGAAATATGAAAATCTTAGTTATTAATGTATTGATAGATCCACCAATCTAATCAACTCTAAAAGCTATTAAAAAACTGCAACAGTTCACTTTTAACAAAATAATCAATACTTGTTGATTTAACCTTAGTTTTTAAACGGTCTGACCTAACCCTCTTTATAGACTGCAAAAACCATATTCTTAATTTGCAGTCATAGCAAAAAAAATAGGTAAGACATTTATGACTGTTAAGTAAGAGGTTAATAAAAATGCCAGTTGACTTTTTTTAATAACTGAATTGAACATTTTATGACCTGTTAATGAAATTAATACAAGTTGAAGTAGTAAGTAATAATCTTAACAGCAAGGCTGCCATTTCCGTCCAGTAGACTGGCCACATTTGGTATCCTCCTACCCCACATTTCTCCTTCTTTCAGGAACACTATGTCCGAGTCTAGCACTTGCTCATTGTCACTTCCAGGGGCCATTACAATTCTTCAAAAAGAAAATAGAATATATATTTACATATCATAACATTGTTCCACCCAACAATCATTGTGTATTTTTATGCCAGATATCCGTATTGTCTCTGAGCTTAAACAGGAGTAGTACATGGGTGGGTTCGGCTTTGAACACAGCAGTTAGCAAGTTCTGGCACAGTGATACACATACTTCGCTGGTTTTGGCATTTAAAAGAGTGCATGTTTATTGATATTTAGGTTGGTGAAAAGGCAGCTTACCTTGTAGTATATTATTCCTCGCAGTCGTTTGATTTTTCCTGATTGAAGAGCAAAATGAGAGGTGCTTGCTTGCTTGAAATGAACATTCATGTCCTTCTTTTTTCACAATTCTTTTGCTGCCAGGTACTTGGCACATTGAAGCCTTCTCTGGGCATTTGTGTATATGTAGGTTGATGTTCCTTCTACAATTCAAAAAGAGGTATATGTTAGTTCTAGATCTTCCATTTTGACCAGTATCATATATTCCAATACTGGTTTGATAAAAAAAAGTGGGAAAAACATGACGCCTCAAGGGTCACGCCAATTGGCTCTGTAGATTAATTGACTTTGATATAAACTTAACTTTAGGGCTTTTGGGGAGAGGGGTGGTTGGGGGGTTAGGGGGGACTTAAAGCAATTGGAAGTATCACTAGGCCGCTCTCTTAGATCCCCACAGAAAAATAGGCATTATTTCTGTTTCTCAAATTGTTTCTTGCTCATGAAATTTAATTCCTCTCTGTCAGTTATTTTTAAGGAATGCAGCTGAATCACAACGCCCCGTATTGCATGACACCAGACACAAGTTAGGACTGCTCGTAGTCCTCAATTTGGATAACACGAAGGATAAGTTTGTCACCTGCTATTGACGATTGAAATGATAAGGGAATACTGCAATTAATGCTAAAAATTACCGAAAAATACTTCACTTATAACAATCGCTTAACACCAAAATATCGCAATGCTGAATTATCCTAATCAATACAACATACCGTGGTAATGATGCATAAAGATGTACGGTGGAATTGTAGTTTTTCCCTGGTTACACTCAGTTGGCATCCTGAACATGGGATCCTTTCTTTTGGGCAAGCATTTGCTGTCATTTCTTCCCATGCTGCCATGTGCTGGCGTCCTTCGTTGGGGCACCTCTCTCGTACTTTTGGGCAATGTCTGAGGTGATCGTTGGCATCGCTATAGTTGCCCTTCCACTGGCAGGTTTGGCTGTTACATTTAACAGGCAAATCTTGGGTTGCCTTATCCATTGCCACATTTATCCTCAGCTCTTCTTTTTGGAACGTTGCCCGACACTGGGGACATAACGGTGTGGCTGTCGATTCTGCCCAAGTTTCCATGCAATTTTTGTAGCCAGAGTGCCCACAGGCAAGGGTTACGGGCCTTGACACAATGCTATAACTGAAAAGGAATATGGCAGTATAATAGCACTGGAAATGAGCGTTAACAAAAATGATGGCAAAATATGACAGCCATGAATGATATTCAACTCACCAAACTCACCATTCCAAATCCACTGTCCTCAGAAAAGTTAATTTGTTGGACTTGGAAACCACTTCGGTCTTTTGATGAGACATTGTTACGGACCAAAGGATTTTCGATCACGGTCTGTCATAATAAAGTTAATCACGTTAAGGGGTTCCTTAGTCTCCTACTTAAACCTGCTCTATTATTGATGTCTGTCCTTTGTAAAAATTACATTTTCACGGAGGGGACACCACGCTAAAGGCTCGAAAGAGTTTCAGTTGCGAGGCGCTTTATCTGATTTTCATGTGACGTCATCAAAATTAGAAAATAAGAAATTATACACGGTACAAAATCAGGCCATGGCTTAGTTTTGTTTTTCTAGAAGTTTTATGATAATTTGAGACTGCTGCTGCTGCATTAGTGTGAACATCTGAAAATTTTGCATTTGTTCTTGTTGCTGTTTAGTTTGCTGCAGCATGACCTGCATCAAATCCTGATATTGCTTTTTGGACTGCTCCTCCTTCTTACTTTCAGCCTCTAGTCACTGCTTCTGTAGCTGCATTCCTTCCATTTTCCATTTCTACATGAGATTGTTCTTTTCTCGCAAATATGCCACCATGTCACTACCACTTCTTCGACGTTTTACTTTTGCTGCTGTTTCATTCTCTGCCTCATCTTTCCTTTGTCTTTTCTGTGTTCCCCAAGGTTCTGTAAAGCTCTGCATCTCATTTTCGCTGCTTTCTGTGTAATTCATGTTGAGTTTCACCACATTCATTGTTAAAAACGTGAAGAAAAGAGAATAAGAGAACTCACTGAGCAATCTTCTTGGCCCTCGCGCCGGCTGCAGCTATGACCTGTTTAGTGGAGAAGAAAAAAACATGTTTTTTCTCAAAAATCAGGTCCCAGAGGAGTAGGCAAACAAATTAAAAATATTATTGACTCCATGATGTGCAAAATACTCGAAAGTTATCAAAGATATTTTATAAAAATACCGTAATCAACTCATGTTGTGTACAAAAAGGCAAACTAGTTGTTTTGACGTTGCAGACAGCACAAGCTACAGTGGAGATTTACAGGGAACGACTGCCAGAAGTAGGGAAACATGCATTCAGACTTCCGTCCGCCATTGTAGACATCCTCCTCTAACGACACATGTAATATTGCTTAGTTTACTGTAAATTTGGAATTAAATTTGCTCTTGCGGGTTTTAGTAAGTTTATACTTACCACAGCTGACAAATGACCACCATAGAGAGGATATTTTGCAAGAATTACTTGGTCAACTATTGAATATGATGATTCAGAATCATTGGATCATAAGGTCCCCAATATAGATCGACTACGGTGGAACATAAATAGTAAACTGAAATCATGGAACGAAGGGTTTCAGGATTGTTACAATTGAAAGGGATGAGTGTCATTGTCGGAGAGAACCACAAGTATGCCAAAGTGTAGATTGACTTCAGCATAATTTGTTTACCTGTTTCAAAATTGAGGGATCTCAATGACTTCATCATTTAGTTGAACCCTTCTTTTTGCACCTTTCTGTTGATGACCATGGAAGTTTCCAAGCACCCGGTTTACAGGTTCCTGTTCAGGGGACATAACATGATGCATGTTCATTTTTCTATTTCAACAAATTGTCATACTGATAAAGAAACATCTAAGCTAGCCTAGCTAGCTGGTTTAAACAGAGCCCTAGCTGGCACAAAACAAGAGAAGAGACCTGACATTTCAGTCTCTGATAATACAGCTATCAATTGTTAAGGCATGTTTGAATGCTGTAAGCAGAATTTGGTGCTTTTCTTTTCATCAAAATAGAGATTTACTCCCTTATTATTAACGAGCAAATCCTAAATTGTACAATCTATTTAATTTCTTATACTTACAACAAGACCAAAGATTTCTTTAAATGCTTGTTTTTGTCTTTTTTCTGTTTCAAGGTTTTGAAATGGGCTTGCCTTCCCAGAATTTTGCTCAAATAAAGTTTGCCATGTTATGTTTTGTAACACATGATATTCGTCTTTCTCCATAATCAAAAGCTTATTGGCAATGTTAACACATACTGACTTGACAGCAGCAGAGACAAGAGTACTGGTAACCTGTATAATGTCATCCAGAGCTTTTTGTGAGAGATTGTATGTTTCCTTGAGTTGCAAAAGATATGCTGCACTTGTGTTTCTTAACTGTTCCTTTGGGAGATCTTCTTCGTCTTCTTCAAAAAGTGTTTCATCAATAAGCAAATCACCAGCTTGTTCTTCAGGCTCAATTTCTTGCACTAAATCTTGTGGTTGTTTAACATCAAGTGCAACTTGTAGAAAAAGAAACTTGATAAAACACTGCTGCTCGTGTTTTAAACATTACAAAAAGCAAAAAACTGCTCAGCTAAAATATCCTTCCTGGGCACCCAACTTTCTATTGTACATAATTCATCTACTACCCTGAATGGCTAATGCTTACCGCTGTACCATATGCATAGAGGTTTGCCATCTTTGTGTATGCTTTTGTGGTTTTCTCTCCTTGTCATCATATTTTTTGCAATTCGAGAAAAGGCCGCATTACATTCTCTTGTGTCTCGTTGGAGTGTGCCGTTCGAATTTAGTTTTTGTGAAGGAAAGATCAGAGTTAAACACGCCATTACAGCAAACAAACGAGCAAACTCTCACAACTTCAAAATAAAAAAATTGAATTTACTCACAATTACTTTCCTTGCTGTTTACTTAATGAACAGAGGTAAATCTTCGTACATGAATGAACGGTCGATGAGAGTGAATAATACTTTCCGTTAGATCATTAACTGATTTTGAAGAAAACATTGTCGTGACAGTCCTTGCCAAACTAGTTCTGTTGGTTTTCAAATGTTCCTACGCTTTTCTCTTTCTTGCGCACTCTTTAATTGACAGGTGTCAGATTGTGACAGATACTTGTAAAAATAATGTTTCAAAGTTTGTTTGGAAGCCTTTTAAATCACCTTTATCGTTATGGAAATGAAAATGTTTCCCTGAGGCATCTCTCTTAACCGGAAAAACTCAGGAAAAAAATTGTGTCATTTCACAACAATGATTTCTGACGAAAATTGCATGACATGAAGTTCAATTACCACTTTATTATATCCATTTTTAAATAAATGTTTTCTAGCATATAACAGTATGCTAACTAGCGTTTTTTTTTTTATTAGCAGATAACAGTATTGTACAAGCGTTTTCTAGCATGTAGCAGTATCGTACTAGCATTTTCTAGCATAGAATGGTATCCTACTGGTGCTTTCTAGCATATAACAGTATCTCAACAATGCTGCAGTGGAAGGTGAATACGATTGGCACAATTTGTGGCTGAGAGACGCCTCTCGGGCACGATGTAAAATGCATGGCGAATGGGGAGATGGAACCTTGAGAAAATTGCGTGAGAATGACCTAGCATTTGTATGACTCTATAGGAACCGAGGTCTCTGAAGACTTGACCATGAAGGCACTGAATTAAGTGTGAATTTCTCAATAATGCTGAGCGGTCAGAAACTGCTTGTTTGTATGTATATTTACCTTTATAAAGCAGCCACCTCACAAAACGTTTGTCGTTTTTTTTTTTGCTCCAAGAGAGATAAAATATGATATGAGTCATTTTAAGTGGCTTCACTTACTTCGTTTTACTTCAGAATATCATGATTTAACAAGGAAGTAGTGTCAGTTTTTAAGTCCACTGAGTCAATAGAACCAGCGCTGGCAGTTACTACTCGCTCTACTCAAAATGTCAGCTAACAAACTCTTTACAATGGTTAATTACAATATCAACTAAGTTGGTAAGTCAAAAGTTAATCCAGTAATGAATATACTTAAGCCAAAATTAACAACTTAGTTCTTATTTGATCATGTTTAAAAAAAAAAATTGTTGACACCTACTGACCTGGTCAAGAATATGTCACTATGCAGTAAAATAATTGCAAAGTATGATACTTCTGTGAAGGGTGGTACTACTAATGACTTGGGGTGGTGAGGATTTTGGGTCTCTTTGCAAAAACTTTGTCAGTTGGTCTTAAAGCACATGAAGAACCGCAGCCAGCCTTAAAACATGTCTATCGTCCTAGAAACATTTTCAGGGGACATGTTAGGAGCCCATTGGCTGTTCAATGATTTGGAAATTCCATCAATGAAATCTTCATATTTTTCATTGCCAGTGTTTTTGAATTTATTTATTTATAATAACTTCATTTGCCTAAATAATAATAATTGTTGATGTGGATTCCACACAGGACAAGCATACTCAACAATTGGCCGAACCGTAGACTTATATCCAATTGTTATTGCTTCAGAGCATTTTCCAAATGAGTCCTTTAGTAGGCCAAGTATCTTATTTGCTTTAGCAGCAACAGAGAGAACATGCGGTTTCCAAGATAAGTCAGATGATATAATGATTCCAAGATGTTTGTGTGTTTTAACCTGTTCCAGTGGGATTGAATTGATGTTGTACGAGCATGGTGTTACAGATCTAGATCTTGTGATTCTCATACATTTGCACTTAGTTGCTTTAAGTTTCAAAAGCCACTTTTTACACCAGTCTATGATCTGAGACAAGCTTTCACACACAGGTTGATGAACAGATGATGGCTGATCTGAGTTAAACAAATAGAGTATCATTGACAAACATTTCACTTGAGCACGATAGGTTCTCAGGTATATCATTGACATACAACAAGAACAACATTGGCCCAACAATACTTCCCTGAGGGACACCAGAGTAAACCATGGACCAGTCTGAGCTTTCACCTTCCAGAACAACACGTTGGAAACGATCTTGCAGGAAATCACCAAGCCACTCGAGAATCCGACCATTGATACCATATCGGCCCAGCTTAGAGATGAGATGTTTGTGTGGGACTGAGTCAAACACTTTCTCAAAGTCAAGGAAGACGACATCTGATGTTTTGTTTTTATCTAAGGCTGATGCCCAGGAGTGAAATAGGTGAATAAGTTGGGATGTGCAGGAAAAACCAGCTTGAAAGCCATATTGATGAGGGCTTAACAAGTCATGATCTTCTAGATGAGCCATAATATGTCTTGTGACTAGCTTCTCTAGGGTCTTAACTACAAGCGATGTTAGAGAAATTGGGCAATAGTTAGAAACTTATTCTTTACCACCATTTTTGTAAACTGGGGTAATGTTGGCACACTTCCAGTCACGAGGTAGTTTTCCTCTATACAGAGACATATTGAATAACTTTGAAAGTGGATCAGAAATTACAGAAGCTGCGTCTTGGAGCAAATGTGCAGACAAACCATCCGGGCCAGTGGCTTTATTCACATCAAGGGTAAGCAAGAGCTCTCCCACATTAGCACTAGAGCACACGAGATCTAGTATATTGGAGCCTGAACCATGTAAATGGGCATCCTCATCGACATCAGTGGCTGGGTCAGGGCGGGTAAACACCGACGCAAAAAATTTGCAAAATAACTCTGCTTTGTCCTTGCCAGTAGAAGCCGTGACACCATGATCCGACCATTTCATAGTGACAGGTATTGATTTGCTTTTCGTTTTGGATTTTATAAAAGACCAGAAGGGTTTAGGGTTTTTGGAATCAATTAATGAGTGAACATGTTGGTAATAACTCTTATTAAGTTCTGATTTAACTTTATTCCTTAACGATTTATCTTTATTCAAATCAATGTCAAGCTGGGTAGATTTGACTTTCTTCCAAAGGCGTTTTCTTTTGTGGAATAGCTTGCGTATAAGAATTATTTGTGTTACCAAATAGTTCAATGTTACCAAAATAATCCCTATAAGTTGCCCAATATTTTCGCTTCCCCATAACACCCCTACTATAGTAAACAGCAACACTGCATGACATGTTGGTATTGGATTTCTCAAAAGCTGTTAACTCTCTCTTTTACAATTTTAGAAAAATACTTTAATCATTGTCCTTTCTGTACACTTCTTTGCAGTTGTTTCACACAGGCCAACTTCTGCAAGTTCCCTGGAATTCTTTTCATGGTATTGCTTTGCTTTTCGTTTTGGATTTTATAAAAGACCAGAAGCGTTTAGGGTTTTTGGAATCCATTAATGGGTGAACATGTTGGTAATAACTCTTATTAAGTTCTGATTTAACCTTATTCCTTAACGATTTATATTTATTCCAATCAACGTCAAGCTGGGTAGATTTGGCTTTCTTCCAAAGGCGTTTTCTTTTGTGGAATAGCTTGCGTATAAGAATTATTTGTGTTACCAAATAGTTCAGTGTTACCAAAATAATCCTTTTAAGTTGCCCAATGTTTTTGCTTCCCCATAACACCCCCACTATAGTTAACAGCAACGCTACATGACATGTTGGTATTGGATTTCTCAAAAGCTGTTAACTCTCTCTTTTACAATGCCTCTTTACTTTTCTGTATGTTTAACTTCTAATAAGTTGTATTGGATTGAGGACCAACTCGCCGACGTCTCTACTCGATTTTTTACGTCAGCGAGTTGGCGTCGGCGAGTTGGTCCGTTGGCGAGTTGACCGTAATTCGTTACTTCAACACAGCATAAATTCAACATCTTAAACCGATGTTTAAGCTTCTGTTTGATGTTCACCAATGTTCACCAGTGTTTTTTTACTAAATATCGTTTACTTTTCTGTGTGTTTAACTTCTAATAAGTTGTATTGGATTGAGGACCAACTCGCCGACGTCTCTACTCGATTTTATACGTCGGCGAGTTGGCGTCAGCGAGTTGGTCCGTCGGCGAGTTGACTGGTTACCGAAGTAACAGTAGACATTACTCTTTTATGAATTACATGTGGCATGCAGCATACATAAATCCGACCTGTGCTGAACTTCTATTGAACTCAGCCAAGTGAGTTGTTTATCGCATGACAAAAAACTAAATGTCTTTTGGGGTGAAAAAGTTCCTTCAAGAAGTCAAAGATATGCGCATTTCTCTTTTGAGCACCCACAATCGTCAGAACAATCCAGTGAGGTGTTCTTACAAGGACACCATCATGTCACACATACCTTTGCAGGCAGAAATCTGTTCAAAGTTTTGTAGATCTGTTAAAAAATTTGTGGACACGCAGTGACGTGCACACCAGCTATTAAGTAGCAATTAAAGATCGAGAGGGGAAAACATTTAGGAGCATTAGCCTCAGTAAGCCTTACCTTTTAATAATACGTCTAAGAGCTTTTCACTCTTCTCTGTCAGCAGTGACACATGCTTTTCTGCTTGCTTCTTGTTATGTTGCTCCATCTCCCTAAAATTCCCAGCAAAATGGCATCCATGGACTTTACATTGTCACTGCCTCTCCTCACATACAAGCAGATGGGTTTGCAACTTCATCCTAAGAGTAAAC